AACTGAACAATGCCAACGTGTCCTTCCGAGGCCGCCCAGTCGATGGCGCGCGTCGAGCAGCCATCCGTACGGTGTTGATGGAGGTAGCGCACCATGCCATCGAAACCGCGAAAGGCCGCGCGGTCCATTGCGTGCACGCTGCAGCGCTCGGTGCGGTGTTCGGTGAGGAACTGGATCGCTTCGAGCTGGTTGGCCCGGGCAGCACCGTCGATGCCGTTGCTCGAGCAGCCCTCGTTTCGGTTGGCGTGGAGAAACCGGAGGACGTCCAGGCGTCCGTGGTAGGCCGCGCGGTCCATGGCCCACGTCGTACACCCCTCGGTTCGGTGGGCATGGAGGTAGCGCACGACGTCGAGGTGGCCGTTGCCGGCCGCCATGTCCATCGCGTACGTCGAGCACGGCGCGCGGCACACCTGGTCGAGGTACGTGACGAGGTCCAGCTTGCCTTCCTCGGCCTGCAATGTCCAATGCGTCTTCCGAGATGACACCGCCGCAGTGCGACCGCAGATACGCCTCCACGTCTGCGTGTTCCTGCAGAATGGCCTGATCTAAAGGAGATGGCGAGCACCCTTCGTCTCGGTGGCCGTGCAGCCACGTCACGATGTCGAGGCGGCCGTTCTTGGCCGCGCTGTCCATCGCTGCGACCGAGCACGCGTTGCAGCCGCCGTCGTGCAGCAGCATAAGCATCTCGAGGTCGCCTCGAGCGGCGGCGACGTCCATGGCGAGCGAGATACCACAGCCAATGGACGCGGTCACGAGCCCAACGATTGCCAGAACGACCAAGTTTTCTTGTACGAGGTAGCGCAGGAGCGCAAGGTGGCTGTTGTCGATGGCGGCGTGCGCCAGCGCGATTGGGAACTGCAGGCGCGACGCGAGCATGTCGAGCCAGACGTTGGCCATCGGCGCAGATGTGAGCGCTGCGATCGTCACGTCGGCGGGGCCACTCGGCCTGTCCGAGCCCGTGGGCACATACCGGTTGTAGTACCGGCGTCCATACCGCATCTCCTTGGCTTCGTCGTAGTTGATGTACGCAGCGACGCGGGTGTACATGCTCTTGGATCGAA